TACTAAAAACACACACTGTTATATCACTCTATCCATAGTATACTAAACAAACACTGTTATATCACTCTGTCCATAGTATACTAAACAAACACTTTTATATCACTCTGTCCATAGTATACTGAACAAACACTGTTATATCACCCTGTACATAGTATACTAAACACACACTGTTATATCACCCTGTACATAGTATACTAAACAAACACTGTTATATCACCCTGTCCATAGTACTAAAAACAAACACTGTTATATCACTCTGTCCATAGTACTAAAAACAAACACTGTTATATCACCCTGTACATAGTATACTAAAACAAACACTGTTATATCACTCTGTCCATAGTACTAAAAACAAACACTGTTATATCACCCTGTACATAGTATACTAAACACACATTGTTATATCAGTTTGGTTGTTGTTTACATTTAAATATTGTCTTCTAAATAATAGTTTTTCACGTGGCAGAGTAGTAGCTAAAACGAAGAATATCTGGTTTTACTGAAACCAAAACCTAATGCATTACTGAGTGTAATGTTATTTAATTTATAAGTGTTGAAGGTTTGCTATTAATTGTGTATATGATGAAATAATTTGTAATTAATAAAAGGTGTATTTTTGGTTTTAACAACTACTCGGAAGATAGCGCTGGTGAATGTTTTTCGTAAATGTTTTGTGCTTGAAATAAATAAATTTATATATATATCATACATATATAAAAAATAAATTATTTGAGAATAACTAGATAAATACTTTTATTCCAAATGTAGTGTAAGCAATTTCGTCCAAGCTGGACTCTTCAGACATTAATAACAGCTCTAAATATGACGTCACAAATAGAGTTACAAAAAAAATCGTACATCGTTCACAAAAGCGCTTACTATAAATAAAGAATTAAATCATTTATATAGTTATTATAAAATAAAGGAATAAGACAAAGTTTCAGTGAAACTCAGATTATTAATCCCCTTTAATTAGTTTTTTACTTTTATATTTCTCATTTTTAATTGTTAGGTAATTATTAATTTCGGAGTGGAATTAGATCAAATGGAAACATTGTGAGACTGAAGAGGACACACTAATATGTCGAAACTAGTTCCTCTGATATCAAGACTTCTGACAGTTTGTTCCGTTTACTGTGGTTTTTTTTTTTTTCAATTATAGTTGCATGTCTTTGGAAAATAAAGAATGAAAAGATGATTGACTTGAATATTGATATCTCAAGTTTTTCCTTCAACTAAAAAAAGATGTTTTCGACGTTATGTATACTATAAAATGATTTGTGTTTGTATGTCTGTTTGTCAGTGACGAATATTTTCCAGCTTTCCTACTTCTGATCATCATGACACTTTCGTGGGTTCTTGGATATAACGTGACTCCAGAACCTAAGCTAATAACTGTAAAAGTAGCTTAGGTTAAATAAATTGCGTTTTGAAAACAAACGCTGTGAATTTTGAATAGAAAAAAATTAATTGAATCCATCGAAATTCCTTTGAATTAATTTTAAACGAAAAAAGCAAACTAAACTTATTTCCATAATCGCTTTATGTAAATTATAGTTACAAAAAAGTTTGTAAAGATGTTATTTATTATCGTTAGATGGCAGCAAAGTAGCTTGTCTTGCTACTCTGGGATACACTTCTAAAATACATGCACTCACGGAAACTAATGTGTAACATAGATTATCTTATGAGGAAAGGTGATGAAGTAAATCTAAATTAATTAACTTCTATAAAACTTAAGATTGATAATTCAATTACTCGTCTTTTCCCATAGTGAAGTACTTGGAGTGATTGGCCCTCTACCGAATGATAAAATAATTCCGAATAAACAGTTTGTTACGACAGCGGAAGTCACGCACCGCTGAGAGCATGCGCGCTGGAGTTTCTCGAAGGATCATGAATTTTCCTGGCAACTCTAGTTTCTTACAGGCGCCTTCTTTTTTAGTATATAAGCCCAGCAAATAAAGCCAGCAAAAGAGATAGATAGATATAGAGATAGATAATTGAGTCAAGCGAACAGTAGGCACCGTAACTAAAGTGTGTGAATCGCTGTGAATTATGGCGCATGTTTATAAAAGTAGTTAAGTTAAAATGACTGTGGAAATTCTATGTATTACAAAGTTGTATCGAGAAAGAATAAACTAGTTTTATTTAAGAAAGGACTTGTATCGCTGAAGTTCCTCGGAAAGAACTGATACCGGAAATTAACAAACATAACAAGTTTTTATTCAAGTTATGGTTAACAATTTTATTGCTTCGTACCAGTTTATAACTTTTAAGGGCGATTATTCCTGTATCGGGTGATGAAATAATTCCGAATTAACAGTTTCTACTGGAGTTATAGTTAACAATTTTATGATTTCATACCAGTTTGTAGCTCCTAAAAGTGGTTATCCCTATATCGGGTCTTGAAATAATTCCGAATTAACCATTTTTACTGAAGTTAGGCTTAACAATTTTTTTGTTTCATACCAGTTTGAAGCTCCTGAGGGTGATCATCCCTCTATCGGGTGATGAAATAATTCCGAATGAATTTATTTCTATTTATAATCTTTATAACGATATTTCTATACATAGCTATAATTTTGTGTATATTGTATATATGTGTGAGGGGGAGTGATTAACTCCATCTGGCCTCGTAGTTTTCTTGAAAGCGCGTGATCCTGCACCGACGTGTTTCATTTTGAATAGAGAAAAAGACAACAATTTTCATCAACAGAAGTGTCAAGAATTTCAAGTCACGTTGGAAACACATTCTATCGCCCGACACTGTATTGCAACAGTCAGTCGTGTCATGCCAGTGTAATCAAGACGTCATCAACTGCGTTGTATAACCTGATTTATGTCAAATAACGGTATGAGTTAGTGTGTGTGGAATTAATAAGCCTTGTGGATAGGACGTGGCCTACTGGTTAGTATGCCGGGTTGTGAATCAGAGAATCCACGATTCGCGACCCGTTGCTGCAAAAACGCGCTCCGCACTTTGGGCCATAAGATCGACGATCACGAGTAGCGCAAAAGTTGGCGGTGAGTGCTGTTAATATCAGCTCAAAATTACGGACGATTAATTCTGTAACTTTGGGCGAAATTATGAAACAAACGAACAATAAACCTTAAGGTCACTTACTATACAACATTAACAACTTAATGTGAATCTCTTTTCTCAACTTATTTTATAGATTGTTGATAAATGTTGTGCACTGCGTGCCATCTTCTGGCATGTATTGTAAGTTAATTCCTGGCTCTTCAAATCGTACCTGCACAATAATGTTACAGTTAGTTTATTAACTTCTACCTGATGACGACCCAATACTATGGGTTGAAATGTTATAGTCATTAAAAGTTGCTACTATTGTATTTTTAAATTAAATATTCACTTAGTTTCCGTCGACCCTATATGTTTGCTTGTAGTTATACACTGGGCTATCTATGCTGTGCCCACCACAGGTATCAAAACCCGGTTTCTAGTGTTATAAGTCCGCAGACTTATCGCTGTGCCAGTGGGAGGGGGGACTCTATAACCCTTTGAAACATTTCCAATCTGTTCAGTTTTCTTACCAGCTATATCTTAAAATCACAATTTAGATGAAACCGTTGTAAGCGACACTACACGATATCAAACTAATTCATTTCAGATATGGTGTAATAATAATAAATTACTCTTATATGGAGTAAAATTATCCAGTATCGCTTCTCTTCTAGTCTCCATTCTAACAGATTGTCCATTTCTATCTCTCTACCTGTTTTATGTCTGTTTGTCTCTTTACTAACATACATACCTGGTTATTTGTCTTACCTCCCTACCTCTCTACATTGATCTCTCTGTCACTCAACTGACGTACGTACCTGTTTATCTGTCTACTTATCTTTATCTATCTGTTTGTCTTTTTACAAACATATATATCTGTCTATCACTTTACTGATATACGTTTTTGGTTATCTGTTTCTATATCTAGCTGTCTACTTTTATATATCTGTCTCTGTACTAACCTACGTACCTGGTTATCTGTTTATCTCTGTAATTAACATACATACCTTGATATCTATCTGTCTCTCTACTAACATGCGTACCTGGTTATCTGTCTCTCTACTAAGCCACGTACCTGGTTCTCTATCTGTCTATCATTATCCGTCTGTCTTTATGGCAACAGGTGTACCTGGTTATCTGTCTATCTCTGTAATTAACATACGTACCTTGATATCTATCTGTCTCTCTCTGTAATTAACATACGTACCTTGATATCTATCTGTCTCTCTACTAACATGCGTACCTGGTTATCTGTCTCTCTACTAAGCCACGTACCTGGTTATCTATCTGTCTATCATTATCCGTCTGTCTCTCTGCCAACAGGTGTACCTGGTTATCTGCCTCTCTACTAACCCACGTACCTGGTTATCTACCTCTCTACTAAGTCACGTACCTGGTTATCTATCTGTCTATCATTATCCGTCTGTCTCTCTGCCAACAGGTGTACCTGGTTACCTGTCTGTAAGAACTTCTTTTCCATATGAACGGACTTCACCTTATACAGTAAGAGTAATTATAACTAGCTACAGTAAGTCTGTATTACTATTCATGATATTCCAAAGCGCGTGGGGTCAACAGAACAAAAGTTCACATTAGGAAAGGAACCAAAGAACTCGACCACTCTTGGAAGCTGGAAGATGGACTTTCCACCATCAACTTTCCCATAGAATCGTGCAAGTTATCCGAAAATATACCTCCCCCCCCCCCCCAGTGGCACAGCGGTATGTCTGATAGCCCGTTGTGTAGCTTTGTGCTTAATTACAAACAAACCGAAAATACAAACCTTAAAGTGATTACACATGATTTTTTAAAGTCACAATCCTATTCCCTGAGATCTCTTCATTTCCAACTATAAAACTGAAAAATAAAAGGAATACCAACTAGAAAAGCGTTCTCCAAGGAGAGGGGAGGACGTGTTATGTATCTTTTTTTGTCTCGATAGAACAAGAAACATCATCAACTCAAACGAAGATCTAGTCAGGATATTTATTTTTTTTATTTAAAAACGACTGACTACATAATGATACATATCTGACTTCTCAGTGAAGATCTTCAGATCGTTAGAGGAATAAGGATCCAGCCTTAACCTACCCCCGAATATATATATATTTATATACATTCTAATCTATTGAATTAAATCTGTCATAAACATTAGACACCTAGTGTTATTATAATTAAACAAACATATATATATATCGCATAATGAATCAAAACAAATGCTTATTAAATTTAATATCATTATGTACTTTAATTACAAAATTCCTTCTAAATTATCTTCACCCAAGTAGAAACAAACACAATAAGAAAAGAAAAAATAAAGAACTTGTAATAAAATAGAGCATCAATTCAGGCGTATAAGAAGATGTTTTAATATTTTGGTGATAAAATAGAGCATCAAACTAGGCGTATATATTTTAATATTTCCACGTAACTTGGATATAATTTACGTAAGTCTGCATCTGTGAACTAAGTGAGTCACTACTCCACTAGGTGGCACCATCACTACCTCTACAAGATGACATCATAATTATTTGTAAGGTAACAGCTTTACTACCCCATCAGATGGTAGTATCATTACCCCCACCAGATGACAGCATCACTACCCCACCAGGAGACAGCTTCACTACCCCAGAAGATGACATCATCATTATCTGTAACGTGAAAGCTTCACTACCACACCAGGTGGCAGTATCACTACTATACCAGGTGACACCATCATAACCCTACCAGATGACACTATCACTATCCCACGATATGACATCATCACAACCACACCAAGTTACACCATCACTATCCCACGATATGACATCATCACAACCACAACAAGTTACACCATCACTACACCACCAGGTAACGTTATCACAATTACACCAGGTTACATCATCACTACCCCACCAGGTAACATTATCACTATCTCACAAAGTAACAGCATCACTACCTCACGATATGACATCATCACAACCACACCAAGTTACATCATCACTACGCCACCTGATAACATCATCACTACCTCACGATATGACATCATCAAAACCAGGTCACACCATTACAACCACACCAAGTTACACCATCACTACCCCACCAGGTAACATTATCACTACCCCACAAGATTACGTCATCAGAACCCCACGATATGACATCATCAAAACTACACCAGGTTACACCATCGCTACCCCACAAAGTAACACCATCATTACCTCACTAGGTGACACCATTACAACCCCACCAGGTGGCATCATGTTTCATGTAAATGATTTACAGTTCACCATTAATCAAGGTTATAAATTATTTATATCCACACAATGATTTACGAAGGAAGCCCAAGTATACTTATTGATTTTAATTGGGAAGTGAATTCACTCTGTGGTGGAGCTCTGAGTGCGTTATAAGAAGGACAGTCAATTCCTTTACATGGATGGCAGGTGATAGGATGCTGTTGGCTCGTCTTCCCTATGATTAGTGGTTCAAAGATAGAGATGGCAGCAAATAGCCTGGTAGCTTTGTCATAAATACAACATTTAAATGTTTACTAAATTATGTTTACAGTTTGTATTCTGGAATATATAACTTTAATTAAAACAAAAACAAACATTTTCTATCATATTTGTTAGATAAAAACAATGTTCCAAACATCAAATTTGTTTTGCCATTTTAGCAATGTAGAATGCTGTGACAAAAATAATGTTGTTTAAAAGAAAAAAAGTTTACGAGGATATTTTACAATTCATCACTCAATTGAAAGTCGGAAACAAATTTCAACTTTTTTGTTGGTTGATCCCGTTTTCTCAAATTTTCAGAAGCTGCAAAATAAATCAAAAGCTTCAGAAGCTGTAAAATAAAACAGATTTTCAGAAGCTTTCAAATAAAATAGAAATTTTTAAAACTTAATATAAAACAACAATCTGCATGTTCTAAGAAGAAAAACTTTGATATGCAATAAATTTTCCCTTGCTCTAACAAAAGTTCTTCTGAAGCTATAAAACATAATAAAATCTGAAAGTTTAAATGAATAATATCTTCAAAATCATTTAACTAAACTAATTGTTTTGAAGGCTGTAAATTAAACAAAATGCTACCAAATAAAGTAGTTTAAAAATACAGTCTTTAAAACTTAATATAAAATAATTCTTCAAAAGTTGAGTAATATCTTCTGAATTTCTAAAGTCTTACTTTATTTGAAAGATGCTGAAGATTTTGTTTCGTGTTAAGAGAGCTTTAACATAAAACAAAAACTTTAGGTGGTGACATATTAAACAATATCGTGAACCTTTCGAATAGAATAAAACATTAGCAGCTTGTCAGTAATATATCTTACGTAAGAGTTGTAGTCTAAAACAAATTCCATAATACATGTAAAAATTAAAATACATAAAGTTGTAAATTAGTTCGCCTATGTAAACCGTAAAACTCAGTCTTCTAAAACTTTTAATTTGATAATGTTCCCAGGAGCTGTTAATAAAATAAGACAAAACGGTTCACGTGAGAAGAAAAATAAATAGAGTCCCTACCTCTATATATTATTATTGTATTAAAATACTGATTGCAAATATAAACCAAATGACAGAAAACATGCGGGCAAGCGTAACGTTATAATAAATTTCGTATTTAATATATTTAGTTAAAACTTTTAGATAGGGATTAAATTAATGCTGCTGTCTTGTTGTTCTCCCTGTGGTCAACAGTTTAAATTAAGGATGGCTATGTCTGATCCTTGTGTTTTAATCTGTTCGTTTATCCCATGTGGGACATAAGTTGACATTCAGGTATGAAATATCAAATATTAGAGGAACTAAATAGATAACACAAATCTCCACCTAACAAGGGAAGCAATAGACACGCACTCAGTACCCAGCGTATAGAAAAAAAAAATTAAGTAATTAGCACATGTTTCCACTGAGCGAGAAGGTTAGAAACGGTGCCATGAAGCACTATCTAACAAAGATAAATGAAACTAAGTGAATAACATATACCGCTCTCTATGACATAAATTGAAATATTTGACTATAAAGATTATGATTGTGTTCATCATGTTTTTATTAATTAAGTATTGATATAACACAAACATCTGAGTTAATTAAAAATGTTTATCTCATTTGGATTTATTATATTGTGTATATCTATAACAAAACAGGCCTAACTGTGAAAGTACCTTCTCAGCTTTATAACGATGTTTATTTCTATATAGAAATAGGCAGGGGTAAAATCCTTCCGGTACTTACCGATACTGAGTAAAGGAAGTTTTGTTTTGTGGCGGTACTAGTACCGGGATTTACTTGAGCTGCTTTGTCGTTTTTTTTTTTAAAAAAAACGAGTCCAATTCATGCAGCCTTAGTTTTCTTTTGAGAATTTCACCCCTAGAAATAGGCCTAACTGTAAAAGTACTTTCTTAGCTATATTTCACATTTTAAAATAGTGACACAGGTCTAGCTGTGAAAATACCTTCTCAGCTTTATTACATTATTTATTTATGTATAAAAATAAGCCTAACTGTAAAAGTACCTTCTCAGCTTTATTGACGCTATGTTTTGCTATAGTGATACAGGTCTAAGTGTGAAAATGTCTTCTAGCTTAATTACATTGTTTAGTTCTATATAGAAATAAGCCTAACTATAAAAGTACCTTCTCGGTTTTATTAACGCTATTTATTTCTATATAGAAATAGACGTAACTGTAGAAGTACTTTTTGAGATTTATTTCACTGTGTTTTTATATATAGAAATAGACCTAACTATAAAAGTACTTTCTTAGCTTTATCACGGTATGTTTTTCTATACGGACATAGGCATAGCTCTGAAAGTACCTTCTCAGCTTTATTATGTTGTTTATTTCTATATAGAAATAGGCCTAACTGTAAAAGTATTTTCTGAGATTTATTACACTGTGTTTTCTATAGTAACGGCCCAGCATGGCCAGGTGGTTAGAACGCTCGACTCGCAATCTGCAGGTCGCGGGTTCGAATCCGTGTCCCACCAAGCATGCTCGCTCTTTCAGCCGTGGGGGCGTTATAAATGTGACGGTCAATCCCACTATTCGTTGGTAAAAGAGTAGCCCAAGAATTGGCGGTGGGTGATGATGACTAGCTGCCTACCCTCTAGTCCTACACTGCTAAATTAGGGACGGCTGGTGCAGATAGCCCTCGTGTAACTTTGCGCGAAATTCAAAACAAACAAACAAACAATTCTATAGTGACATAGGCCTAGCTCTGAAAGTACCTTCTCAGCTTTATTATGTTGTTTATTTCTATATAGCAATAGGACTAACTCTAAAAGTATTTTCTCAGCTTTACTACGCTGTGTTTTTCTATAGTGACAGAGGTCTAGCTGTGAAAGTAGCTTCTCATCTTGAGTAAGTTCTTTATATCTATATAGAAATAGGCCTAACTGTAAAAGTACATCCTCAGCTTTATTAACGCTTTGTTTTTCTATAATGACACAGGCCTAGCTGCGAAAGTACTTTCCCAGCTTTATTAACGCTTTTCATTTCTATATCGAAATAAGCCAAACTGTAAAAATTATTTTTAGTTTTATAAACGCTGTTTTTCTATAGTGACACAGGCCTAGCTGTGAAAGTACCTTCTCAGCTTTATTAACGCTGTTTATGTCTGTATATAAATAGGCCTAACTGTAAAAGTAATTTCTCAGCTTTATTAGGTTGTTTATTTCTATGAACAAATAGGCCTAACTGTAAAAGTACTTTCTCAGCTTTACTACCCTGTGTTTTCTAGAGTGACAGAGATTTAGCTGTGAAAGTAGCTTCTGAGATTTATTATGTTGGTTATTTCTATATAGAAATGGGCCTAACTGAAAAGTACTTTCTCAGCTTTATTACGCACCACGCTGTGTTTTTCTATAGTGACACATGTGTAGCTGTGAAAGTACTTTCTCAGCTTTATTACGTTGCTTATTTCTACATAGAAATAGGCCTAACTCTAAAAGTATTTTCTCAGCTTTACTACGCTATGTTTTCTAGAGTGACAGAGGTTTAGCTGTGAAAGTATCTTTTTCTCAGCTTTATTACGTTGTTTATTTCTATATAGAAATGGGCCTAACTTTAACAGTACTTTCTCAGCTTTATTACGCATTACACTGTTTTTTTTAATAGTGACACAGGTGTAGCTGTGTAAATACTTTCTCAACTTTATCATGTTGCTTATTTCTATATAGAAATAGGCCTAACTCTAAAAGTATTTTCTCAGCTTTACTTCGCTGTGTTTTCTAGAGTGACAGTGGTCTAGCTGTGAAAGCAGCTTCTCGGCTTCAGTTAGTTCTTTATTTCTATATAGAAATGGGCCTAACTGTAAGAATACTTTCTTAGCTTTATTAACATTGTTTTTCTATAGTGACATAGGCCTAGCTGTGAAAATACCTTGTCAGCTTTATTACTATATAGAAATAAGCCTAACTGTAAAAGAACGTTCTTAGCTTTATTACGCTATGTTTTGCTATAGTGTCATAGGCCTAGCTCCGAAAGTACCTTCTCAGCTTTATTATCTTGTTTATTTCTGTACAGAAATAGAACTAACTCTAAACGTACTTACTTAGCTCTATTAAGTTATTATTTCTATATAGAAATGGACCTAACTGTAAAAATACTTTCTTTCTATAGTGACATAGGCCTAGCTGTGAAAGTACCTTCTCAGCTTTAATTACGTTGTTTATATCCATGTAGAAATAGGCCTAACTGTAAATGTACTTTCTCAGTTTTACTATGCTGTGCTTTCTATAGTAACACAGGCCTAGCTGTAAAGTACTTTCTTAGATTTATTACGCTGTGTTTTTCTACAGTGGCACAGGCCTAGCTGTGAAAATACCTTCTCAGCTTTGTTACATAGTTTATTTCTATATAGAAATAAACCTAACTTTGAAAGTACCTTCTCAACTTTATTATGTTATTTATGTCTATATAGAAATAGGCCTAACTGTGAAAGTTCTTTCTTAGCTTTATTAAGTTGTTATTTCTATATAGAATTAGTCCTAATTGCAAAAATACTTTCTTGGCTTTATTAACGCTGTTTATTTTACAGTGACACAGGCCTAGCTGTGAAGGTACCTTCTCAGCTTTATTACATTGTTTAAATATGTATAGAAAAAGGCCTAATTGAAAAATACTTTCTCAGAATTATTACGCTGTGTTTTTCTATAGTGACACAGGCCTAGCTCTGAAAGTAGTTTCTCAGCTTTATTATGCTGTTTATTTCTATATAGAAATAGGACTAACTCTAGATGTACTTTCTCAGCTTTATTACATTGTTTATTTCAAAATAGATATAGGCCTAACTGTGAAAGTACCTTCTCAGCTTCATTACGTTGTTTAAATTTATATAGAAAAAGGCCTAACTGAAAAATACTTTCTCAGCTTTACTATGCTGTGCTTTCTATAGTACCACAGGCCCAGCTGTGAAATTAGTTTCTGAGCTTTAATTACGTTGTTATACCTATGTAGCTGTAAAAGTACTTTCTTAGCTTTATTAGGTTGTTATTTCTATATAAAATTAGGCTTAATTGTAAAAACTTTCTTGGCTTTATTAACGCTGTTTTTCTATAGTGACACAGGTCTACTTGTGAAAGTACTTTCTCAGCTTTATTACATTGTTGAAATCTGTATAGAAAAAGGCCTAATTGAAAAATACTTTCTCAGAATTATTACGCTGTGTTTTTCTATAGTGACACAGGCCTAGCTCTGAAAGTAGTTTCTCAGCTTTATTATGCTGTTTATTTCTATATGGAAATAGGACTACCTCTAGAAGTACTTACTTAGCTTTATTACATTATTTCTATATAGAAATAGGCCTAACTGTAAAAATATTTTCTCAGCTTTATTACATTGTTTATTTCAAAATAGATATAGGCCTAACTGTGAAAGTTCTTTCTTAGCTTTATTAAGTTGTTATTTCTATATAGAATTAGTCCTAATTGCAAAAATACTTTCTTGGCTTTATTAACGCTGTTTATTTTACAGTGACACAGGCCTAGCTCTGAAGGTACCTTCTTAGCTTTATTACATTGTTTAAATATGTATAGAAAAAGGGCTAATTGAAAAATACTTTCTCAGAATTATTACGCTGTGTTTTTCTATAGTGACACAGGCCTAGCTCTGAAAGTAGTTTCTCAGCTTTATTATGCTGTTTATTTCTATATAGAAATAGGACTAACTCTAGAAGTACTTACTTAGCTTTGTTACATTATTTATATATAGAAATAGGCCTAACTGTAAAAATACTTTCTCAGCTTTATTACATTGTTTATTTCAAAATAGATATAGGCCTAACTGTGAAAGTTCTTTCTTAGCTTTATTAAGCTGTGTTTTGCTATAGTGACACAGGTCTAGCTGTGAAAGTTCCTTCTCAGCTTTATTACGTTGTTTAAATTTATATAGAAAAAGGCCTAACTGAAAAATACTTTCTCAGCTTTACTATGCTGTGCTTTCTATAGTACCACAGGCCCAGCTGTGAAATTAGTTTCTGAGCTTTAATTACGTTGTTATACCTATGTAGCTGTAAAAGTACTTTCTTAGCTTTATTAAGTTGTTATTTCTATATAAAATTAGGCTTAATTGTAAAAACTTTCTTGGCTTTATTAACGCTGTTTTTCTATAGTGACACAGGTCTACTTGTGAAAGTACTTTCTCAGCTTTATTACATTGTTTATTTCAAAATAGAAATAGACCTAACTGTGATAAGTTCTTTCTTAGTTTTATTAAGCTGTGTTTTCCTATAGTGACACGGGCATAGCTTTGAAAGTACCTTCTCAGTACGGATTTCTGCTTCCTGAAGATTCAAGTCAACTTTTCCTGGTCTTTTGATTAAAATGTCGAAATGGATAACAAAAGAAAGTTCCACCTCTTTCAAAATAACAATTTAATCATTGAATAGGGCTATCTGCAAAAGCACTTTCTCAGCTTTGTTATGTATTTCTATAGAGAAACAGGCCTAGTTGTGAAAGTACCTTCTCATGGCAAGAATTGTTCAGAAACTCCGGAGTCAGTGATCGACGAACTCCTGGCAAAGACACGGGTTCAAGTGTTGTGATACGGGTGACTTTAGTGGTGGAAGTCCTGGCGACTCGTGTAACCTTATGAGCAGGAGCAAATAGACCAAAGTCGTTCTTGCAGCTGAAGTATCTGAAAATAAAAGGGAAATGCCAAATTGAAAGAAAAAAAAGGTGAATACAAACCATCGAGGTCCAATTGTACTCCATTGACTTTTTAAACATATATTTCTAAATTCTTTAGGCACCAGACTTTATTGATTACCGAGTTCTTTATAAAATGAGTCACTGAAAGAAATGTAAACATGAATTCCTTGAGAGTCCTTTATGCAGTTTACATAAAACAAAAAAAAACGAGTGATTTATTTTACTTAATTGTTTTGGCGAGTTCTATACATTGTGTGTTCTAACATAGAACAATACAACATGTAGATCCCTAAGAAAACTGTATAAAAACAAATAGGTAATATGTGGGTTAAAGTAGGTAATAACTTGTGACGGTTAATATTCGAAAAACCGTTTAGTCAAAATTATTTTTTATCGATGTTTCGCCTGTTTGATTACATACAAAATCGCTCAAATCTTCGGAACAATAGTATCATCTAGACTATCATGTCTTGTCAAATAATAAATATAATATTTATTACGTAGACTCATCACGTCGTATTAAACATCAAATATAATCTTATATTCAACAATCCACTACTTAACGATTATTTTAGAGGTGAAAATTTGGCTTTATTTTGCTTTTGTTTGTTGTTGTTGATTTTTCAAGGTACATTTAATTACACGACGTTTAATAACATAGGAAATGGTGAGCAGATTCATTAAAACACAACAGCAACAGTTATGGTGTTGAATTAAGTACGTCAAGGGTATTGAAGCGGAAAAGTGACCTTTTCTATCTGGTTGTGACCAACAGTTTCCTAATAATGTTCGGTTTCCGTTTTACACTGTTCCACGCGCTATCCTGTAATGCGATGATAGACGGGATGGGGGAGTAGAGGGGAGGGGTACTAACATACAAACAATCTTAGCACTAGATACATGATACATTAATTACCCAGAGTAACCATTGCGGTTACTTTTATCCAGCGCCAACTTGTCTTCGTTTTAGACAAAAGGGAAAGTGTTACAAAGGGTAAAACTTTGTTTAACTTATATCTTCAGAAAACTGTTTTGTTTTTTTTTAATTTAAATGAACTTCAAGCAATGGCCGAATAGACGTACTTCAGTAATCCATTGAAATGCTGGGGACAGAAATTGTAAATATAAATATGTTGACTGGTTTGCCAACCAAGAAAAATCTGGCGACAAACACTGTAAATATAAATATGTTAACTGGTTTGCCAACCCAAAATATGTTGACTGGTTTATCCACTTCAAACCGTGTTTCGAAAGGCTTCAAATTTTTGTTTTATTTTCAAGTTCCCTTTTCAAACCAGCGACTTTACTTAGAGAGACTTATTTAAGAACGAAATATATATATATTCGATTTTCACTGAAATTTTTCTTGCAAATTACTGTTTTAATTTCTGACTGTCAATTTTATATAGCACCTAGGCCTGTCCAAAGCTGACAGTGTGTAGTGTGTTCATAGCTCGTCTCGAGTTCCGGATCCTCGATACCCAGCCCAACAAGCTAACTACTAGTCATGCCAGCCCATATCTTTAAGAAAAACCAAAACATATAATGTAAGGAATATAGAAAACCTGTTTACCAATGAAACTGATCTTAAAGTGCATTCAAATTAGGCTTTGAGAGTAGAGTAAAAACTTACAATTTTTGGCTCACTAAAAGATGTCTGAATAATATTGTTGGGGAAAAAATGACAAAGACTGAACAAAATGGACAATGTTGTTGAAACAGAATGACAAGGACTGAACAAAATGAACAATATTGTTGAAACAGAATAAGGACTGAAATCCGCCCCCGTATGTTCACAGTTGGGGTATTCAGGCTAGAAATTCAAGAAGAACATGCACCTCAAACTCAAGAGATTTCCAAGATTCTGGTAATACTAGGTCATGGAAAACCTGAATGTGTGTAACGTGTATACAGATGTACGCACTAGAATACTTACTGGTATGAAAACCTTTAAACAAAGCTTATCATAACACTAGGAAATCATAAAATAGGATGAATCACAAATAAGAAAACCGATAATCTGGCCTTTTCGGGTTTAAGGAATTTACCCCTAAGAAGGAAGATCTAACTTCCGAAAGACCTCCAGTGACTCAGCGGTAAGCCTGTAAGCTTATAATGCTAAAAATCGGGTTTCGATATCAGTGGCGGGCATAGCACAGATAGCCCATTGTATATATTTGCGCAACAAACAAATCTACCGAAAATGATCGGGCTGAAGGAATTTACCACTGGGAAGGAAGGTGTATTTACTTGGTTTCTCTTTCCGTAAACAGAGCTAAGAGAGCTTTAAATAAATTTAAAACATGAAGATGTACTATCCCTGCAACGGGGAGGTATTTTGTGAAATAATGTTTTTTTCCATTCTTTTAAATATGTGTTTAAAGTTACATCAAAAATGTAGAGAAAAAATAAACGTTGAATCGTAAATCTGTCTAATTCAGTATTCACAGTCTCGACTAACCATGCATTATTTGTTTGTTCATTCTTAACCCAAACGACCTAGTGGTTCGCGTGCCCAGACTATGAATATAACAGTTCATGATTCGCGTCCTATTATTGCAAAAATGCACTCCACACTTTTTGGGGCCGTGCTGAGTGCGCTATAAGAGTGACAGTTAAATTTCACTATTCCGTAAGACATTAGTGGCTCAAGAGTTGATAGTGGGTTCTGTTGACTAGTTGCCTTTTCTCTACAGTCTATCGGTTAAAAATGAGGGACAACTATACATAGATAGTCTTTGTGCAGCTTCGCAAGAAAATTATAAAAAAATAGCAAGAAAACTTAAACAAATGGCAAACGTGGCCTAACTTTCTACGTATACATTTTATGTGTGTACAACACTGAATACCACGTGCAGAAATACAACTTTGGGGGTGTTTACTTGGCACGCTCAGAAGTAGCGTGGTTACATTTTGGGTGTTAGCAGAAAAAATAAAAAACTTGTAGAACAACAACAACATCAGAACTTTAAGAATTCCCCAGTAAGGAGAAGGTGAGAAAACAAGTTGCTCCACCCTTGTGACCTTGGACATTCCATTTTGTTCAAGATTAATTTTCTAAATTCGAATTTTTGCTGCAGATATACCATATAAGGAAGTAACGCCACCTGGAAATAAGAGCTTACTATATAGTCAGTAAACACTTTTCTATAAATGTGATGGTTTCATTTCTGAAAGTCACATGCAAATAGTTATGTATATAGATTTTAGATTACATTGGTTTGTACATAATTACACATCATTTTGTAAATTTAACAATAGTTTAAGCGAATAATCTTATTTTGGGTATAATATCTCTTTACATTAACAAGAAAAACCTCTCGTAGTGGATTTAGTAAAAGTGTTGTCTCTTTGTTTGGTGAATTTTGTATAAAGATATTCTAGGCCTATCTACGTTAGTCGACCCTCATTTAGCAGATGTGGACTAGAGGAAGGCAACTAGTCAAAACAACACATAATCAACTATTGGGCTACTATAATCGAATAGTAGGAATAACTGTCACATTATAATCCCTCAACCTGAAAGGCCAAGCATATTTGGTGATGGGTTTCGAACACGCCAACCGCTGTTATGAGCCAAGCGCCCTAACCACCAGACCATGCCTGTCAGTTGGATAAGTTCTTCCTCATATTAAAATTACATACTAAATTACTAACTTAACAATTTTTTTTTCAAATAACAGATTTTAATGAACATAAATCTTAGTGTTTTTGCAAAATATTTAACATGCTGTTTCTAGCTTGAATTTCTATGAATTTATATAAAAAAGTATTTTGTAACATCTACTATTTTAATCTGCACACATATACAATTATTATTGTTATTTATACACCCATTATTACTGATATACAATATAATATTATTTTGATTTATAATCGTACCCCGGTGGGACAACGATCAGTGTACGGACTTTTAACGCTAAAATCCGGTGTTCGATTTCTTACTGTGGACACAGCAGAAGCCCAATGTGGCTTTGCTATAAAATAAACAATTCATTTATAATCATTTTATATATCTTATTTAAAATATATATATCTTATTCCTATTATATTAATAGATTATTTGTTTTTAAAAAAATTCTACTTATTGCAAGTCATTTGTAATTTGAAATGTTAGTTCTTCTATATTAATAGAGCTAATTTTTATGTTGTATCATCAGCAAATATTGTACTTTTCCAACTTGAATTCATATCACCTAAATAATTGATGTATATTATAAAAATGGGTCTAATTATAGAACCGTATAGGGGCTAGCAACTCCACCCCGATAACGATCTGCTACAGAAACTGCAACAACGCTTCCGTCGGCGAAGTGTTGTTGTAGCCCTATGTTCCACTAGGAACGACAGGAACAAAGATAGGACACCATACTTATTATATTCACATCACCGAAGCTAGTTTTTATTTTGACATTCTGAGTTCATTTATATAATAAGCTTTAAACTATTTCAATGCGATGTATTTTATCCCTAGAATTTTTAATTTATCTAATAATATTTGATATGATACTATATTGAATGCCTTCTCTAAATCCAAAAATATACTCAGTGTTTTTCTGTCATTATCTAAAGACTCATAAATATTTTTTTTATAAATTTTTAGAGTGGCTCTTCAGTATTTAATTCTTCTTTACACCTATACTGGTTTGTGGTGAAAAAAATTAAGTATATTATAAAATCTTGTTAACTTGCTTTTTGTTATTTTTCTAATGTTTTAGAAAATACTAATAACAACGAAATATATCGATAATTTACATAATTATTCCTTTATTGTATATCGGAATTACTATAGCTTTTTTTGTCTCCTCTGTAAAATTCCTGTTCTAATTAGATAAGTAATAAATATAAACCATCGGTGCTATGACATAATGTATATACTTTGTTTATTATACTTACTGAAATTCCATCATGCCCTGCACTTTCTAATTTTTTTCCAATTTTCTAAGACTCATAATTATACTTTCCATTTCCTCGTTAAATGTTGGAAATAAACAGATGGAATTGTTATATCTCTTT